GTTAATAGAAGTGGCGAACACCTGCCTGCTTACCCAAACTCACTTCATTAATTAAGCATAAAGATTTTATTAAAAACGTTCGGACGGAAGGAGGGCAATCACAGAACATTATAAATATATAATGAAGGGGATTTTCTAACGGATTTATGTTCGAATCTTTCGTTGGTTCGCCAACTTCTCGGAAATTGTCTGGTAGCATTGCGCATGTTCTACGTCTCACCTGGCTTCGTGAGTGACGTCAGAAATCTCAGACCAGCTGTTCGTGAGGTAATTGTCATGTGATTTAACTCTAGACGGTTAAGTTTAATTTCCGAGAGATTCTCTCCCCCTTAAAGCTATAAATTTTCAATTATAAGTTACTTTGTCGTTTATTTTCTGTTCGTTTTATTTGTTTTCTTTCAAAACATCTTTTGGAATTATGTAAAAATGCAAAAATTGTCGTGATTTTCGTTTTGATCTGAGGAAATTTCACAATTTTTTTTATTTTAAACCGATTTTATAGCTATATTACTGCTTCCACGTAGTATACAAACGTGCGTTTTTACTTCACAATACAAAATATATTCAAATAGATCATTGGGTTTTTAATTTTCCTATATACAAACGCCTTAATTAAATATAGCGATGGATTAATGAAACGGCATTTATTTTGATGATTTCTCGTTACAAAATTATTTTATAAAATTTTTTCCGTTGCGTATACAACATTTACGACTGCCAATACATTAAAAATATAAAAATACATGCAAATAAACCAGATTTAATAAGTCAATACGATCTTTTTTTAGCTATTTTTTGTAATTTATTTTTTAAAGTAAAATATGGCGACGGATTGATAATACATAGTTTCTAATTCTAGTGAACCTTTTTGCGATCAGAATTACGGAAAATTCATTATAAAAACACTAGGTATAAAGTGGTAAATAGTTTTACATATTATGAAGTCCAAAATATATGCAAGCAAATCGCTCTAAATTATTATTTTTTCGTTCCTCATAACACACATACAGAAATGCTTATATAAATAGAGCATTTAAATATGGCGACGAGAGTCGACGATACGGCGCTTCTAAATTTAAATGTTTTGTTTTTTTACATATATATATATATTTTGCCCTGATTTTAATTAAACTGTTATATTTTTCAAAAAACATCTGTCTAAGACAGATCGAACTACCGTTAGATTTAAACACGTCTTAGTCGGTGGACAGGTGGTAGTTTGGTTAGAATTCGTCGTGTTATGATACCGTTAGATAATATAAGGATACAGCTGTCTTGTCTTCTATAATAAATACATTATTTTTTATAATGATAAAAACAAGTTACCATTCTATGAGGTCAGTTTTATCATTTTAGAACTTAATCCCATAATTAAATTTTTAAAAAAAATATTAAATTTCTATCTACTTTTAGAAACCATTATGAAATTTTTGTGGAGTATAATAAAAATCTAAATTGCAATTTTAGATTATTTCCCTCTAATTTTTTGAATTATATATTAAAAACTGTGTGACAGATTTTATAGATTACCGAAATAAAAAATTATTTAAGATTTAACTGAACTATAGTTTATATCATTTTTTTAAATTATCAACACTCTCATTATATTTTTTAGATTAAAACTGTGTAGATTGTAATGGTTTTACAATGCTAAAACTCAACATCACATTTTTTACAATGACAGAATTATAACGAAATTTTTAAAATATTCTAAGAATATTAAAAGTGAAAATTATTCCGAATTAAAAAGTTGTTATTAAAATTATTAATTAAAAAATACTACAAAATTTTCAGTGTCTTCATAATTTTATTTTCCTCATGCCTTAGGAACAACAAAGCCACATAGAACAATGTTTTACAGTTGATTATAGGTGACATTTTAGTAGTAATCTAGAATTACTGTACGTAACAAAGTTCGTACAACTCTAAATAAGCACATTTAAGAGTAATAAATCAGCAAAATTTACAGTCGCATATAATTATTCATAATTTTATCCGTCCGCGACCAGAAAAAGGTAGAAAAACATTGACTTAGAGGATAGTACTTATATTTTGAGGCTCTCCTCCGTCTCAGCATGCAAATATAAACATTCCTGTTGTTAAGTATAAAATTACGATTCATATAAATTTAAAATCATGGACGATCATTTACAAACAATTTTTGCACGTTGAAGCAGAGAAGGGCCTCCAAATAACGGTCGACTCTGCTAGTGACTTTGTTGTTCTTGAGGTATGAGAAAAACAAAATTATGAAGACACTGTGAAAAACTTTTTAGTGATTTTTTTTCCTTCTTTTTAATTCACAAGTGAATTATCTTCAACTAATTTTAAACAACTAATTTTTATTAATAAAATTTAGTTGTTTTTAGATTATAAAACTCTAAATTATTTAAAATTTTGTATCAGATTTTTACAATATTAGAACTCTAAATTAGAATTTTTAGACTGCTAGAACCGAATATTAGTTTTTTTTTTGGTGACTAGAACAGTATATTTTTACACTCTCCAGAACTGTATATCAGGTGTATCTGTAACCTTGTAGTAAGCTAATTTGCATTAAATTTAGTATCAACTCTCGAAATTGTATACTAATTCGAACAATTAGAAAAATATTTAGAGTTTTTCTAATTAAGACCACCCGCAAGAATGCTAATTTTGCATAAAATTGCATAATTTAAAGCGAAACAAAGCATCGAAAGAACAAAAGAAGTGATAAAAATCATCATCACTTGCCCTTACAATGTGATAATTAGTTAACTTGTATAATTATTTAGTTATAATAGTTAACTAATAAAAACAAAAGCGTAATCTTATACAATAATGGTATGAATGAGTTAATTAAGGTCTAAATAAACTTACCTATTTGACGTTCCGGAGTGTTTTTTGATGGTTTAAATCGTATTAATTAACATTCTATTCAGACGTAAGGTTCTTAAAAAAATACGTGGATGATGATCGTGATTTTTCAGACAAAGATAATTTAGAAATTAGTAAGATTTTTAGATGTTTTCTTCTTAAATTATATGTTTCGTTGCAATTTATCACCTCGACATTCGATAGATCATTGCAAACGATGTAGTAAAAAATAAAAAAGGGGTCATCCTATTTGTTCATAATGGATTAGAGGTCAGTTGTCGCCTGGGGTTCGAGTGCACTTACAGTTTTTGATGGTAGCTAACGGGGGTCAAAGTTCATTTTCTGATTGAAACTAAGACCAGTCGGTGTCCACTGTGTAAATGTCGACAATACATTAAGTTGTCATGAACGTAGAGATGTCACCAAAAATCCAAATGATATTTTTGTAAGTTTGACCCCATGCGGTCCAAATTCATCAGCAATGTCAAACCAGGAATACTTATTTATATTTAAATCCAGAGAAAACCCCCTCGCATATTCATATGATTTATAAATTATTTACGTATGAACCACTTTAACTTAAGAGGCCCATTTAATAATAATAAGGCCGTTAGATGTTTTGGAAACGTGAAAGAAATTTTAAATTATAATTGGCGAATTTAAGCATTCTAAAGTCTAAAAAAAAAAAAAAGAAAAACACTCAATTCGCAATTAAAGATGCGTATTTTTTTTACGTTTCCATCCTTTTAAACAGAAACAAAGAAATTGTCACTGTCGAATTTCATTAGAAAGGCGGCATCTAACGTGTTTATACCTAATAAATCTTTCTAAAAAAACAGTTATCTAGGTGTTTTTTGAATGCTGATGAGACAAAGAAACAGTCTATCATTTCTTAGTCCTGATATTTTTCTAGCATCATCTTACTATTGAATGGATATCAATTAACTGCACGCTATGATTCTTCTAGACACGTGCCACTACATTCAATAAGAAAAAAACTAACCCCGGTTTTTTGAAGTCAAACTCTTCACCCTTGTTGAAGAAGCTATTGAACAGATGTCCTCTAGGTAAGAAAAAAAAATCTCACAATAGAATGAATGATTTAATGATTGTATTCAGCTTACGAATGTCAATTCTTTCGTGAATTGTTTACTTTTAAATATTTCTTTAAAATATTTACACGAAACAATGATGTTAACGCCTAAAAAATTTATTTGGTCATCATAAATAATATCTTTAATATTCACGGCTGTAATATAAATGTTTTTTTAAAGGTTAAATTCAAAAAAATGCCCTCATAACTACATCAAAAACATCCCCTTACATCTGTAGCGTTAAGTATAAAAATCTCAAACACGCAGATTAATTAGTAAGTTATTTTTTTAGAAAATACCGAATAGAGGTTTTCTTTGCTCAAAAAAATATTAAAGATTTAAAAANAAAGGTTTTCTTCCTTAAAATTAATCGATTCTACACTAATCCGACTCAACATTTCCAAAATACGTATATTTTTTCGTAGTTTTATAGGAACCATAATTATAGGGGGTCGACTGTATATTGCACTACTAAACTTTTTTGTCAACATTGTTTTTATTTTAATTTAACTCAACACTCTCCAAAAATACAAACATAATCTATGCTATTCCGTGTCACACTAAACTATAAACAAAAACATGCGCAGTGCAAGTCAAAACACGTCGCGTTACTAATGCAAACCATCAACTATCAGTCCAAGGTCATACGCACCGGCACCGACTGAGTATGAAAGTTGAGATCCGTATCCATATCCGCGGATCTAGACACTAATGATCTGTATCCGTATCAGCGGATATACATTTTTAATGATCCGGCACATCACTAATATATATATATATGAAAATTTCAGCTTATGGAAGAAAATTTAGTTTGAAGTAAATTATTTGATAACATACAAAATGTTATAAATTTCTTTAAAACTATACCACTTTTCCCTTATGAAATGTTCACAATCCTAATTATGTATTTTTATAAAAGAAACAAAATACTTGTATATCACTTCTTTGTTACAGCATTTGTATTACATCTAGATATTATACGTTATTACAGATAATTAAAAATAAATGACACACAAACTAATGTAAATAATATTATATCAAAAAAAATTTATTAATATAATGATTTTTATATAATCTATATAAACGTCTTTGTTTCTTTGGCAAATAGATTTACAAAAAAATCGATTTTTTATAGACGAATTTTACATTATTTTTTAATCCCGAAATATTTCAAGAGAAAGAAGAGAATTAACGGTTAAAAAAAAAACTAAGACAACTGGTGTGCATCATATACGATCGCGGCAACGTTCATACGCGATACTTCCTTCTAGTATGAGGGGAAATTTCTTTGAAAGAGGGATTTTCGTAGGTCATGTTTCCGATTGTGATGACAGTCGCTCCACCTTCTCTCGTGCGAACATCGGTTATTTGTCGATCGATAGAATTGGCACCGTTTAGACGTCCACCCCTCCCGACACTCCTCTGCTGATGTTTAGGGGATATTTCCCTGGGAGGGTAGGGATGCCCGCTGGCATCTGTATACGCTATGCTCAGTTCGGAACCGTATTTTCTAACAGAACGTGGGGATTCGAATGTTGGATTACCGTAGGTTTCACTGAATTCACCTTCTGGATCTCTTGTAGCTGCTTCGAATGTTTGTTGCTGCCAATATTGTATGTTTTCCAGTGCGCATACTAGTCCTAGGAATATATCCACCACCAGTATGAATATCTGAAAAATATCAACGAAAACTGTCTAAAAATACTACTAAAAATAAAACTTTTTTTTTCCTAATTTCTACAGTAATTTCAGGCAGTTTGATTTTTCAAACTAAAATTTTAAGGCATTTTCATACATTAAAAACCATGTAAAATACATTAACAAATCTACAATCAAAATTTTATTAAAATTATTTAAAAACTTACCTGAACCCAAAATGCCCAACCTTTATCCACAACATAATCTACAAATCTATTCTCTCCAATGCTTGCTAACACAGTAGTTAAAATGGCAAAAATCACTAAAAAAAAAAGAGAAAAAAAAAACACTTGAAAGTGATACCAAATATATGATATTTATGTATTTGAGTTTTTTTGGAACCTCTACACCAAAGGCAATAGTTGCTTAGTGACAAATGATGGGTGGAGTTGCCATCTGTAATTCTAAATTCATTTCTACATGAATTATATGTTGTTTGGCCAACATCATAAGCTATTATTATGCATTTCAATTGCTTTCATTATTTTATAAATAAATTTATATAACAATTTTCTAAAAGTACTGTACACGTTTTGATAAATTAAAAATAATCCATTTATTCATTAAGTAGGTAAAGATTTATAAAGAATGTAATTTTTTAATGGTCAAAACTTTATTAAATTTTAAAAAATATCATTTTTGACTTATTTTTTTGTAGTTATAAATTATTATCTAAAAAGACATAATTAATTGATGTTAAACGGCCTGAGATAAGCAATTAAATTGAGTGTTTTGTAAATCTGAAGGAGAAAAATTAATTTTTTTTTTTTTTTCTTAAATGAAAATCAAAATTGTAGATAGAAATCAATATATGACCTTCTTCACAATAAATAATTGCATTATGTAATTTTGAATGTAATGTATAGTGCGGTGTGTCGTAACCAAAGTTTATTGATCAAATAGCTAACACATGTCATTCCGCACGCCCGACAAAAATCTTAATAACTTTAGTTTTGGATCAATAAGTGTCGTTATATGAAAATCTCAAATTCCACTTTCTGCATTAAGCATGTTTCAGTTACATTAGAATGTACTTAATGCAGATAACTGTCATGTATAAGTGATGCAATTTGGAAGATGCTATTGTATAAAATAATGCATTTTATACTTTATCAAAACTTTGAAATTCAAAAATTTTTTTGTTATTTCATTACCTGTTCCTGTTAGTCATTCATATTTTATATACATTAATGACAATAATACACAGATGTTCTATAATTTTTAGTCAAGTTTCTATAAATTTTCTGTAATAATTATATTAAGCATAATATTGGAAAATCAATAATATTTGTAATAGGCTACAAAACAATTAAGGTCAAATATTTACACTATTAACATATAAACAATAGATAGCTAGATCCAATGCATTTGTAATATATCTTTGTATATCACACATGTATATAGAGTGATGACTGTGTTGCCTGGTTGGATAGCCAATGGCTATGCAGCCAATAATCCAACCAATAATAGATAATAGCATGAATAATAGCACATTCTAGCTATCTGCAAACTGCCTAGGATACTCATAGTTTTCAATTCATAAAAGATTGGATATGACTTTGGAGTTTGCTCAAAGAAAATTTGACATCTGTAAAGGAATATTTTAGAACAATAATCTTTCTAAAAAAATAGATAATGGACTTCTAAATGAAAAATGAAGATACCATTTATGCCTAAAAAAAGGAACAACTTGCTGCATACTTGCAAATGAAATGGAAAGGAATCCCCTCAGCAGAGTCATGAAAGCAAAAAGCTGATGAAAAAATCCACATCATTTGAAAAGGTAAGGAAATATCACACTACCTAAATCATTCTAACTCTTTAAAATAATAATAATAGCAATCTGTACAATTTTACTTCTCAGAGTTTTGTCAGAAGTGCACTTCTAATGAAGCTTATTTTAATTCCAGCTTATTCTAATTACAGAATCCTTTTCATTTAAATGAAAAGTTTTGAAATACTAACAATTTTAACTGATTAAAAATAAAACAAAAAATCAAAAATAATTTATTAAACATACAAAAAGTAGATTAATAATGGAAAAGCAATTATTATTAACTTAAATTGGTAATTAACATGAAGGATTAATTTTAGCTTTTAGCAATGATTTCATCAGCGGATGTGGTGGGAGCTCAACTATGGATAATCAAATGCATTTGAATTTTTTGCAAATTGCTAAATAATGACTAAAGTATTCAAGTATTGCTCCCTTTGGGCTACAGTTTCTCCAACAAGAACAAATACTTTAGTATTTGAATACAAAGAAACAAATACTCAGGGAAGAATCAAAAACAATTTAATTTTTTCACCATTAGACTCAACAGATTTTATATTCCACAAATGTGAGTTGTACAAAGTTTGTGATGGGTCCCCTTCCGCTATTGATTATTATTAATTTTTAAACATTATCTAATTAATTTTTTATATTAATTTTATGCTATTAATTCTCAAAAATTAATTTTATTGCAGAGCCCAAAATTTTTTTTGGTGGAACCCTAGGGTTCTGCAAAATGCAAGTTGGAAACCACTGTTCTAATGCAAATTCCTACAGCAAACTATATTATGCATTAAACAAATTTGTTTAATCTCATTTTCAAATTTCAATTAAGAACTCTTCTAAAGAAAACATTTATTTTTGAGTAATATTTCTTGTTATTTTTTGCATAAATGCTATCATATAAAAATTACTAGACAAAAACTTATATGCTGTTGCAGTGGCATGCAGTGACATTTGATGGTAGGGAAGCTGTGCCAGCCCTGGATAGAATTATTGGAAGCATTATACAATATTTTGGTTTGGTGTGTAGCATCCACGAACTAAACTGTGTGAGGTTGGTGCTCTGTAAAGCACATGTGCAAATGTGTATAATCTGGCTGCTTTACACAGTTCAAATATTCTTGCTGTGGAAGCTGTACCCTATTCAACAATACGTGCTTCCATTGGAAATATGCATATATAAATTTATATTCTATTATACAATAGCAATCTTATCATTTTTTTCACATGTAGTATAGAAATTTGTAATAAGGTATATAATGCAGTTATAATAAAATATTAATTTTAAGTACCATATTTACTTGCATATAAAATGACCTCACACATAGGACAAGGTATGACTTTAAAGATCAAAATAAAGAAAATTAGATTTATTAATACTAAAAATGCACACATTGTCCTGCAAAAATTACTGGCATTTTAAACCTTAAAGAAAAATCTTGTAAAATTGACAACATAATTTGTTCATGTAAAGCTGGACAATGGGGAACCTTTTTTTAGCCCAATTCTTAACTGTCGAATCCACTCTCCATTGATTACATTTATGAGTTTCTCTGAATTCCGATTTCCAAATAACCATCTGTTTTCATGTGGGAATGAATTAAAACTTATATCGTGCTCCCATATGATTTTGGAATTTCAATCTGGAATTTAATTCAAAAGCTTTGCTTTTCCTATTGCTATTCATCTTTACTTCTGACAATACACAAGAATGATTCAAATGATCCAGATAAAATACTTATGTTCTTAAATACAAGAGGGTGATCATCTGGTAAAAAATGTGAATACATGGTTCACAAAAATTTTTTGCAAAAATGCAAATAATCATTTTCTTGCATGTATAGGATGACCTAGGAATTTGAAACTGTGATAAATGAATAAAAACCTCTCTTATATGCGAGTAAATATGGTAATTCAAAGTACATTAAAATAAGAAAATAATTGCACAATATGCATTTATATTTTAGAAAATAGAAGGGAAGCAGTGCTTCCACAGCTTCTATGGATGGCATGCCACTGTGCTGTTGTTTAGATAATCAAATGTGATTATTTTGCTTAATTTTAATTTCTTAATCAAAACTTCAAGATGTTTCAGGCTTGACATCATTCACCATTGCTATTTTGACTCAAAAAGAAAAAAAAAAGAAAAATTATATTTATCTCAATGGCACATGTTTTTCTATTTGAAATATAAAAAATATTTAGGAATCTTTCATTCTATTTATAATAATATCATACAATCCATGTTAATAATGATGATGATAATAATAATAATAATACTTTTTTTATCATGTTGGAATAGACAAAAAATTTGTCTTTATAAACACATCAGTGGTTCTATAGATGACTTAAAACATGGCCCAATCTTGATACTGAGCAGCATATTGATTAACAGCAATTATTACATCACTTGTCATTACATTGCTAAGTGATGGTGGATTATAAGAATAGTCTGACACTTTAATATAGGCAGCAAACAATCTTATTTTCAGAAATATTTTTGGTCCTAGTGTAACATTGTACAGCTTAAAGGACATTCTGTAAATTGAAAATAGTCATAATCTTTGATAGATAAAATGGTCAGATGATGACTGAAAAAAACACTAAAAATTTTTTTGCCACCTGAATTAAACTGCCACATATATATCTTATAGAAACTATAATGCCAGATTATGTAAATTTTTATGAGAAATATCTCTCAGTTATATGATTAGATAGGTCAGGCATGGCCACGACGGCCTGCGGTCCAGATCCGGCCCGTTTAATGAATTTGTGTGTCCCACAATTAATCTTTCAATATTAGCTACTCAAGTCTGAATAGCTCAATGAAAAATTCTGATGTCTTAAAAAATAAAATAAAAGGTCAACGATTATCAGCACAAAACCTTTCTCACTAATTTCTAGCCTTATTAACTGGAGTACAAACTTCTAACCGACGCTCCACAGTGTACCCGAGGAAGGCCTATTAAGAAGGCCGAAAACGTTTGTACTCCAGTTAATAAGGCTAGAAATTAGTGAGAAAGGTTTTGTGCTGATAATCTTAGAAATAGTTCTAGCTACGTATGCATAGTAGTGTAAAAGGTCAACAATTCACTGTGTGTTTAGAGTTAACCCTCCCATTACAAATGTTGATAAAGCATGATAATGTGAAAAATGTATGTGCAATCTCTATCTACAATTTAGTCTCTATGGGCTGACATCACAATAAGATCTTGCACCACCTCAAAATCTTCCTAGGGCAGCCTCTGGTTTGGCCCATGGAAAAAGTTTTCTTTCCAATTCAGCCTGGGGGCAAAAACTGTTGGCCACCCCTGAGATAGGTAGTGTGTTTCATAAATATCAAGATTTATATGTGACATAAAAGTTAAATAAAGTAAATTATTATATATAAAATCACATCTTTTCATACATTTCCAGCATTTCTTTATAGTTCTTACAAATGTTTTTGACTTGATTTACAGGCCTTCTTCAGGTTAAAAAGCTAT